ATATTTACACTATGTTTTAACATCTAGTTGCACTAGTTCCTTCTCATTACTCTTAATTTTCAAAAATTGCCTGGGTATTTTTGATGGTTTATTCTTTTGGATGAATTTTGGAATAACTTTTTCAAGTGCCAAAACACTATTAGAATTTTAATTAGAAGTACATTAAACATCTAATTTAATTTGGAAACAATATCTTCACAATATTGGGTTTTCCTATCCAGGAACATGGTATTCTCTCCATTTATTCACCTATTTTTTTAAAAGATTTTATTTATTTACTGTTAGAGAGGGGAAGGGAGGGAGAGAGAGATAGAAACATCAATGTGTGGTTGTCACTCATACGCCCCCTACTGGGGACCTGGCCCACAACCTTGGCATGTGCCCTGACTGGGAATTGAACCGGCAGCCCTGTGGTTCACAGGCCAGCACTCAACCCACTGAGCCACACCAGCCAGGGCAGCCCTTGTATTTCTGACTTCTTCATTTAACATAATATTTGCAAAGTTCATCCACATTGTAGCATATATCAGAACTTCATTCCTTTTATGACTGAATAATATTCCGTCCATTGTACAGATATACCATATTCTGTTTATCCATCAGGTGATGAATATTTGAGTTGTTTTCCACTTTTTGGTATTATAAATAATTGTGCTATGATCATCCAGGTACACATTGTGTGTGATCATGTGTTTTCAATTTTGTGGGTATATTTGTGGGAATGGAATTGCTGGGTCATATGATAACTCTATGTCTAACTTTTTGAGCAACTGCAAAGCTGTTTCTCGAAGGAACTGCCATTTTACATTCCCATCAGTAATGTCCGAGGGTTCCATTTCTTCCATATCTTCATCAATACATGTTATTGTCTGTTTTTTTAATTATAGTCATCCTAGTGGGTATAAAATGGTACTCATTGTGGTTTTAACTTACAGTTCCCTAACTATTAATGATTTTGAGCACCTTTTCATTTGTATGTTTTCTATAGAAGAATAGGCCCATTTAAATCCTTTTCCCATTTTTCTATGGAGGTAACATTGATTTATAACATTATATGAGTTTCATTTGTACAACATTGTAATATGACATTCATATATACTATATTGTGCTCACTACCAAAAGTCTGATTTTCATCTATTACCATAAAACTTACCCCCTTTACCCATTTACCTCTCCCTATATCCCTTTCCCCTCTAATAATCACCAGTCTGTTGTCTGCCTTTATGTTTTTGTTTATTTTTTGTTACTCATTTGTTTTTTAACATTCCACGCTTGAATGAAATAATGCAGTATTTGTCTCTTTCTGCCTGACTTATTTCACTTAGCATAATACCCTAAAGGTACATCCATCCATGTTGTTGCAAATGGGAGTAGTGTCCTGTTTGGAAATTTTTCAGAACACCTGTGCTTTTAGGATGCTTTCAGCAACTTTCCAGTCCTGATAATAGAGGCTCAAAAAAACAATAGTTAATTGTGGCGGATAGGGTCAAGGAAGGAATAGCTAGCTCTGGTAAAGAGGGCGTGAAAGAAACTTTTGTCCTTTTATATGGCTGAGTAGTATTCCATCACAAGTATCATATCTTAAACAGAAGCAAAAATAAACAAATGGGACTACATCAAACTAAAAAGCTTCTGCACAGCAAAAGAAACCATCAAGAAAATGAAAATGCAACCAACCAAATGGGAAAAGATATTTGCAACTCATCCATCAGATAAGGGGTTAATATTAAAAATATTTAAAGAAGTCATACAACTCAATAACAGACAAAATCTGGGCAAAGTGAATAGACATTTTTCTAAAGAAGACATACTGATGGCCAGCAGGCACGTGAAAAGATGTTCAGCATCACTAATCATCAAGAAAATGCAAATCAAAACCACAATGAGAGCCCTGCCTGGTGTGGCTCAGTGGACTGGGCATCATTCTGCAAACCAAAAGGCCCATTGTTTGATTCCCAGTCAGGGCACATGACTGGGTTGCAGGGAGGGTTCCCAATTGGGGTCGAGAGAGAGGCAACTGATTGATGTTTCTTTCATACATCAATGTTTTCCTCCCTTTCTTTTTCCCTCCCTTTCCCTCTTCCTAAAAATTAATAATAAAATCTTTTTTAAAAAACCACCAAGAGATACCGCCTCACCTCTTATCAAAAATGGTTGCTGAGGGAGGGAAGGAAGGAGGAGGCAAGGGAAAGTGGTGGGGGGGAGGCAGAGACAAATGTATTTGAAAAAATAAATTAAAATAAAATAAAAAAATAAATAATGCATATAAAAAAAGACAGATGATTACTAGAATTAGTGAAATTATCATATTGTTAGGTATAAAAATGTTAAATCACTATATTGTATTAGGGTGGCTGGTGATGCAGGCTATGAAAGGTTTCACAAAGAGTAGAAAATACAGAGAGCAAAGTCTTACTCACTTCCCAAGAGAGGAAAGGGGCCTACGTGCCGAGAGTTGCACTGGCCCCAAAACGTTGGGGCTGTGAGCTTTTGTTGGATTTATAAAGGGCAAGGGGGTTGCAGAACAGGATGCTTCAGTTGGTTTTGTGTAGGATTCAGTTTGCTCCAATGTTATCTTCAGGTGCAGAGCCTGGTTGTTGTGACCTGGCATGTCCTGTTTGGTAATTTTCCAGAACATCTGTGCTTTTAGGATGCTTTCAGCAACTTTCCAGTCCTGATAATAGAGGCTCAAAAAAACAACAGTTAATTATGGCGGACAGGGTCAAGGAAGGGACAGCTAGCTCTGGTAAAGAGGGCATGAAAGAAACTTTTGTCCTTTTATATTGTACACCTGAAGCTGATATAACTAATATAAGATTGCATCCTAATTATACTTAAATTTTTTTAAATACAAGAAAAAACTGTTGTAGAGGATGCAAAGAAAAGGGAATCCTTGTGCACTGTTGGTGGTAATGTAAATTAGTATAGCCACTATGGAAAAACAGTATGTATGTTTCTCAAAAAAAAAATAGAACTACCATATGATTCAGATATTTCACTTCAAGGTATTTATCCAAAGAATATGAAAACACTAATTTGAAAAGCTATAGGCACACCTATGTTCATTGTACCATTATTTATAATAGCCAAGATATGAAAACAACCTAAATGTCTATCAACTAATGACTGGATAAAGAAAATACTATTTATATTGTATTATATTACATTGTGTTATGTTATGTTATGTTGTTATGTTATGTTATAATCTCCCCAGTGGAATACTACTTAGCTCTTGCCCATTTTTAATTGGACTTTTTTTGTCATTGAGTTGTGTTTTTCTATATTGTGGATACTATACTCTTATCAGATACATGATTTGCAAATTTCTCCTATTCTGTGAGTTGTTTTTTCACTCTCATGATAGTGTCCTTTGAAGAACAAAAGTGTTTAATTTCAATGAAATCCAACTTTCCGGTTTTTTTTCTTTTGTCATTTGTGCTTTTGATGTCATAGACAGGGAACCATCCTCAAATCCAAGTCCAGCAAACTTTACTCTGTTTTATTCTAAGAGTTGTACAGGTTTAACTTTCACTTTAGGTATTTGATCCATTTTGAGTTCATTTTTGTGTATGGTATGAGATAGGGTTCCAACTTTATCCTTTTCCATGTGAATATGCAGTTGCTCCTGTATCATTTATTGAAAAGAATATTCTTTCCCTCCATTAAATTATCTTGGCACCCTTGCCAAGAAGCAGTTGAGCATAAATGGATGGGTTTGCTTCTGGACTCTCAATTCCATTCCATTACTATAGAAAAGGGTTTTTTTTTTTAAATTAATAAGTTGTTTTCTCCAAAGCCTAACCTGAGACCACTCTGAATAGAATTCATGTCATTTTTGCCCATATTTATGAACAAATTTAAGTGGTGTGCCATGCTACTTCATTGAGGAAAATGAAGCTGATTAATAGGTCTCCAGGACAGGAGAAATAGGAAGTGTAGTAATTGGTGCATTAGAAAGAACTTTGGATTAGAATTAGTAAAACCTGGGTTTGGATGCTAGTTCCATCCAAAGCTATATGCAAGTTACTTAACCACTGTGCGTTTTAGCTATTGTGAAATGAAGATGGTGCCAATGTTGCGTGGCTTCTGTTAGCATTAAGAGATAAAGGTTTTGAAAATAATGACATAGTCCCTAGTTCACAGCAGGTACTTGACATAAAGTCAACTCACAGCTAATGGATGGCCTTGTGGCTCCCTCCCTTCTGACCCAGGGTAGTTTATGTGGTATCAGGGGAGATGGGCTCCTCAGTGGGTACCTGTCAGTTCCACGGTTCTGCCCCCATCTCTTACACTGTGCAGCAGTTATGGTTCCACTCCCTTACATTTTCTCCCGGGGCAGTATAAGGAGCCGATGAAGAAGGGGAAAATGGCTCTCCACAGATCAGCTTTCTGGATAGGTTTGAGGGCAGTACAGTAGTGAACCACAGAGTAAGTAGGGAATAGTCATACTTGGTTTCATATACCCAGAGCTTTATTTTAATTCTGAAAACAAACAGCATAACTGCATGCAAAAGTTTTCTCCAGGGCAGAACTGTGTCACAACTGAGGGAACCCTGTCTGCTTGGATCAGCAAACAGTTCAGGTCCCCAGTTTATTTTGTAGTGGTCCCCAAATTGTAGGGAAAGGGTCTAGGAGGAAACAAACCAACCCTGTTCTCAACAAGGCTTCTAAGTCTAAATCTAAATAGTGATGGTGCCACTAAAGCTCAGGAGGAAGGGGCATGGTGTTCTTTGGCTCCTCATTCCTGTGATCAGAGAATTAGTTGGAGTCAGGGTACCAACAAAGGCTTGTGTACTCACAAGGTTGCTTGCTCAACTGGGCTGTTGTCCAGTCTTCCCATGTGCGTCTGGTTTCTTCCCCCAAAGTTGACTCATTAAGTACTTTCTAGCTTGGTTGGCCTCCTATCTCACACCTCTCCCACCCCAAATTCTTCCATCCATGTGGCCTTACTTGGATCCTTCAATACCTTGGGGTTTAAGAACAAGGGAACCCAGCTCCTGTTATATGATTGTCAGACAGTGGGTCTCAGGAAGGCCATACTGAACTTTGTGCTGGTCAAACAACTTGCGCAGGGCACTGATGTAGAGTGCATGGTATTTGTCCACTGTCTTCTCGTCTGGCTTGTTAATCTTGGGGATTGGCAGGGGCTCCCCAACTATGGGGAAGAAGAGATAAGCATCAGAGTTCCTTCCCAACTCAAATTGCCCATCCCTCAGAGGGAGCCACATACTGAAACTCAGTGTGTAGGTTCCCTCCCCTTCCTTTGTTTTTCTCCCCTCTGCTCCAACCTCACCCTGTCCCATATTCTCCAAATACCTAATCTCACACATGCGCAACAGAATGAGGACAAGCTCGGGGGAGGGCCGAATGAGTATAAGTGAATAATGATGCCCTCGTGGCAACTGTTGAACTCTGTCCCACTGGTGAATGGCTATAACTCTTATTTTTTAAGTTGTCCTCCCCGCCATGCCCTCAACCACACCCAATCGAATCCCCATTGCCTATCCCAGCTGTATGCCATGGGTCCCCTGGGACTTGATGTGTGACTTGGGGGTAGGGGGTGGAATCCAGCACCAGTGTGGTTCAGAGATATTGAAAGCTCACCAACAGTGGTAATGGGTCGATTGAAAGGCAGGAAGCCCCAGGATTCTCGAGTGAGGCCTCGGCCATGGAAGGTACAGAAACTTAGTCCCATGATTCTTTTGCATAAGGTTTGTAAGAACCTCATCCATGTGCCCTCAGGGAATTTTTCTTGATTGAAAACATCGTTCTCTCCAAAGGAATAGGAAGGGACAAGGTATGCTCTGCAAAGAGAAGGACAGAAGTGTGCTTTTTCCCAGGGAGTTCTGAGGGTTCCCCACAGAAACCCTCACCAAGCTGGGAAACCTCTGAATCTTCCCAATATAGGACATAAACATCTCCAGCCTGTGTCTCATCCTTGCCATGCCCCACCCTTCCAACTGAAGCCTTTGCAGAGAGCTGCTACACATTGTCCCATGATCAAAAGAAACAAATCTCAGGCAACCTAACTACCTTTATTGCACCCACCATCCAGAGTGATCTTTCTAACCTGCATATCTGGACATGTCATTCCTCTCTCTGAAACTCTTCCCAAGCTTCTCACTTTGTACCACGCTGCTTAACATGGCCTTCGTGTTTTAGCCCTGCCTACCTGGCTAGCTTTCCCTTGCCCCACCCCTTCTTTGCCATCTGCTATGCTAAGTCATGTTACGTGTGCCAAGTTCTCTCGTTTGTACGTCTTTCTGTGTTATGCTCCCTCTGCCGGAAGTGCCTTCTTTCTGTTTTCATATGGCTAATTCTATTTTGCCCTTCAACACACAGCTCTGATTTCATCCCTCTGGAGAAACTTTGACCACCTCCAATTTCCTCCCCTACAATGTGGATTAGGTTATCTATGGGTCCCTACAGCCTGGCATAATGTCACATACATTGTATGTCCCCTGAGTTCTTTCTCCCTTTCGGTTTGATTGGCAAATCCTACTAATATTTTAATTCACAATTTAGGTATCATCCACTGATGTAACTTCTCCTTTGGGTGAAAGTCTTTCCATCAATTGATGCTCTCAGAGAACTTTGTACATATTTCCATTGTAGTACATCATTCATTCAATATTTATTAAGTTCTTTCTATGTTCCAATACCATTTTATGTCCTGGGGGTACATCAGTGAACAAAATGGATTTTTAAAAATATCTATAATCATGGAGTTTACCTTTAGGGAAGATAGACAATAAATAATAACAACAAACAGACAAAAACAGGTATATAAATAAAATTGATGATACATAAGAAAATGCTAAGTGCAATGGAAAAAAGAGAGCAGAACAGTCAGGATAGACCTTACTGAGAAGAGGGACAGCTAGAGCACAGGCCATAAGGCAAGAGCATGCAGTTTGTTAGAGGGACAGCAAAGAGGCCAGTATAGCTCTAAGGGAGTGAGGAAGGGGGAGAGGCGTAAGTGATGAGGTCAGAGACGTGGCCAAAGGCCATATTATATCGGGTCTTCCAGGCCCTTGTAAAGACTTTGGCTTTTGCTTGGAGTGAAATGGGAGTCTTTGGAGCATTGGGAGTAATGACATGGCTTGACTCATGTTTAATAAGACCATCCTGATAGAGGGACCATACCTCAACATAATAAAGGCCATATACAACAAACCCACTGCCAGCATCATACTCAGTGGGCAAAAACCACAAGTGTTTCCTTTAACATCAGGAACAAGACAGAGACATCCACTTCTACCTTTCTTAATCGACATAGTACCGGAAGCCACAGCAATCAGACAAGAAGAAGAAATAAAAGGCATCCAAATTAGAAAAAAGAAGTAAAACTTATTCACAGACAACATGATATTGTACATAGAAAACCCTAAAGACTCCACCAAAAAACTACAAATCTAATCAATGAATTCAGCAAAGTAGTAGGATACAAAATTAATATTCAGAAATTGGTGGCATTTTTACAAAACAATAATGAACTATCACAAAGAGAAACTAAGAAAACAATCCTGTTTACTATTGCAACAACAACAACAACAACAACAATAAGGTATGTAATAATAAATTTAACGAAGGAGGTAAAAGACCTGTACTTGGAAGATTATAAGATACTGAAAAAAAGAAATCAAGGAAGATACAAATAAGTGGAAGTATATACTGTGTTCATGGATAGGAACAATTAGCATCATTCAAATGCTCATACTACCCAAAGCCATCTACAGATTCAATGCAATTCCTGTTAAAATATGAATGGAGGCCCTGGCTCCTGCAGCTCAGTGGATTGAGCACTGGCCTACAAACTAAAGTGTTTCCAGTTTGATTCCCAGTCAAGGCACATGCCTTGGTTGCAGGCCAGGTCCCCAGCTAGGGGCATGCAAGAGGCAACCACACATTGATTTTTCTCTCCCTTTCTCCCTCCTTTTGTCTAAAAATAAAATCAATAAAATCTTAAAAAATAATTAAATAAAACACCAATGGCATATTTCACACAACTAGAACAAATATCCCAAAAATTTATATGGAGCCACAAAAGACCCCAAATAGCCTCAATAATCTTGAGAAAGAAAAACAAAGTTGGGATTATCAGACTACCTGATATCAAACTATACTACAAGGCCATAGCAATCAAAACAGCCTGGTACTCGCATAAAAGCAGACACATAGATCAATGGAACAGAATAGAGAACCCAGAAATCAACCTACACCTATAGGGTCAATTCATATTTGACAAAGGAGGCAAGAACATACAATGGGATAAAGACAGTCTCTTCAATAAATAGTATCGGGAAAATTGCACAGATACATGCAAAAAAATTAAACCAGACCACCAACTTACACCACACACAAGAATAAGATCAAAAAGGAATTAAAGACTTAAATGTAAGACATGAAGCCATAAAATCCTAGAAGAACACATAAGCAGTAAAATTTCAGACATTTCTCAGAGCAATATTTTTTGCTGACATGTCTCCTGAGGCAAGGGAAACAAAGAAAAAAAATAAACAAATGGGACTACATCAAACTAAAAACCTTTTGCACAGCAAAAGAAACTATCGACAAAATGAAAAGGGAATACACTGAGCGGGAGAACATATTTGCCAATAACATATCTGATAAGGGCTTAATTTCCAAAATACAGGGTCCAGCAGAAGTAACACCTGCTTGAATATGGTTGGTAGGCAATAATATGAGTGTAATAATTTGTTTTTAATTTGAACATTTAACCTAAAATTTCATAGGGTGTGCTTGAGTGTGATACTGTTATGTTACAGAATTACATACTTATGATTTTGTAATAAAAGATTTTGTAATAAAAAGGGGCGTTATTTGTGCTGTGCCCTGTATATAAAGAATGTATACAATTCAACACCAAGAAGACAAACAACCCAATTTAGAAATGGGCAAAGAACCTGAATACATAGTTCTCCAAAGATTCCATACAGACAGCCAATAGACATGAAAAGGTGCTTAATGTCATTAATCATCAGAAAGATGGAAACTAATGGAAACTAAAACCACAAAGAGATATCACCTTATACCTGTCAGAATGGCTATCATCAATGAATCAACAAACAACAAGTGCTGGCAAGGACGTGGAGAAAAGGGAACCCTCATGCACTGTTGGTGGGAATGCACATTAGTGCAGCTGCTGTGGAAAACAGTAGTGAGTTACCTCAAAAAATTAAAAATGGATCTGCCTTTTGACCCAGCGACCCTATTTTTGGGAATATAGTCTAAGAATTCAGAAACACCAATGAGAAAGAATATATGCACCTCTATGTTCATTGAAGCATTATTTACAATAGCCAAGGTTTAGAAGTAGCCCAAATGTCCATCAGTAGATGAATGGATAAAAAAGCTGTGATACATTTACACAGTGGAATACTACATGGCCATAAGAAAGAAGAGATTCTTAGCTTTTGCAACAACATGGATGGATCTGGAGATTATTATGCTAAGTGAAATAAGCCAGTTGGTGAAAGACAAGTACCATATGATCTCAATTCTATGTGGAATCTAATGAAAAAATTAAACTTACAGAAAAATAGGAACATAGGTGTGTATACATGGAACAGACTGACAGCTGTCAGAGGGAAAGGATGTTGGGGGGCTGGATGAAAGAAGGTGAAAGTATTAAGCAAATATATATATATATACATAGACACAGACAGCAGTGTGGTGATAGCCAGAAGGAAAGGGGGTGGGGGAGGTGGGCAAAGGGGAGATACGTGGGGACAGAAAGAGACTTTGCTTGGGGCAATGGGCGCACGATACAGATGATGTTTTGTTGAGTTGTACACTTGAAACCTGTATGGTATTGTGAACTAATATCACCCCAATAAATTCAATAAAAAGTAGGATCATCCTGGCTACAGTTAAGAATAGATTCTTGGATGTAGGGGAGGCAAGGATAGAAGCAGGGAGAAACCTTCGGAGACCAATCCAGGAGAGAGCTGATGGTAGTTTAAACCAGGGTGGTAGTTGAGATGGTAAGTGGTTGGCTTCTGGATGTATTTTGTAATTATCTGTGCACATGTTTGTCTTCCCTATTGGACTGAGTTCCTTAAAGGCAAGCACCAGGTTTTATCTATTTTTGTGCCCTCAATGCCTAGTACTATGCCTGATACAGAGTAGGTGTTCAATTAACTGCTGAATGAATGCATTCTATTTCTCAAACCAGATCATATGCTCTCTGGAGGCAGTAATTATGTCTTATTCACCTTTGTAATAGCAATGGCATCAAGCTCAGTGCCTTCCTTGCCCTGGGTAGGTTCTCTAGGCCTCTCAGTTAATAGGTTGATATAGTGTGAATCTGTGCTTCTCCATACCCCCAGCCTACCAGGCTAATGGGTCTTCTATTGTTCTTTTTTCAACTTCAAGTAAAAAAAGTGCCCACCAAAATGTGTCTGGAGGCCCAAACCTATTATGGGCAGCATTGGGAAGCAGAGAGAATTAATCAGAGTGAAGAGGGAGTCCCCTCTAACAGGCCTCCAAGGGAGGACAACATTCTGGAGAGGTGCTACAGAGAACCTATGGAACCCAGACAATAGGGCACCAGAACCTAGAGACCTACCCTGTCTTCAGTGCCATCTTCACAAAACCTTTACGCTGTCTAAGGAAGATGGTAGAAATTCCTGGTTGGCTCATGAGGGCTTCGGTGGCTCCGCCCACCACAATAACCACGGCATTGCCTGAGCCTTTCTGGGTGAGCACATACTTCAAGGCCGACTTGCTCACAGGGCACACACCTGTGAAACCAAAAAGTCAACAAACTTGGTGCGTGAAGATGAGGTAAGGGGTTCCTCTGGGCTCTTAATGATGACGACAATCCTGTTTCCTGACTTTTGTTTCTATTCTTCTGTCTTTGACTGCCACATCCCAGGTTTCCCCTAGTCTGAGGTTTGTCCTTAGGGTCAGCTGCTTGCATTGGGAGTCTGTGCTACTACAATCGGGGTAACATTGAGTTCTTCTGCCTACTTCCTCTTAGTTCAGTAGTACTTAAGCCCATCCCTTCCCTCTTTACCCATGAATCACAGCCATCTTTCACTCTCCCCAGGCTAACAGTACTGCAGACTCACCAGAGTTCTCTCTCCTAGGGGTGATCAGGACTAGCTACCACCAACCTGCTTCTTCCCTAGAGCACCTGCTGAAGAGGAGCCATTGACTGGGATTTCTGGAGAGTAGGCAGACCCAGGAGCCTGTCCAAGCAAAACTGAAAAGTAGATGAACCATGGAATAAGGAGGACACTCCTCTGTTCAACAACAGTCACAGCCCTGACCAGTGTGGCTCAGTTGGTCAGATGACATCCCACAAAGTGAAAGGTTGTTGTTTCAATTCTCAGTCAGGGCAGATGTCTGCACTGTGGGCCTCATCTCCAGTTGGGCCATGTGTGAGAGGTAACTGATGGATGTTTCTCCCCCTCTCTACCTCCCTTCCCTTCTAAAATAAATTTTAAAAATCTTTTTAAAAACATTTTCAAAAACTCACAGTCTTTCCTCATTTATGCTCCCCATCTTTGCCCTGAATTTACCTTCTATACTCTCCTGGGATGGCAGAATTGCCTTCAGGCCTCAATCAGTGAGAGAGACCGCTGCTCCAGGTTCACACCAGCCTCACAGGGGAGCAGAACCATCATTTGGAACTCTAGTGTTCCTACCTGGTCCCTGCAGATAAATGTATCTTACCTTTTGATATTTGGCTTCGATTTCTTTCTGGTTTCCAGAAGGATGGATATTCATCCAGAGGGAAGGACATTTGTCACAGTACCCTGGCTTGAAGCCTGGCATGAGGAGGTTGTCCTGGATTGTGATGGATGTTTATCCTTTATCCCTTGATGTCTTACACAAGTTTGAAGGGGTTCTCACGAGATGAAGGTCAAGGACTAGGAGGGGAGGGTACCAGCTAGTATGAAAGACTTTACAATGTCTTTAAGGCACCCTGGATGACAGCTGCTTTATAAATGACTGGCCAAAAGAAGCCAACTAATATCCAAGAAAGAGCCTGGAAAAGTTCATCTGAACTGCCCCTTTCATCTCTTATTTCCCTGTTGTTTGGGTTTGCTATTTGGCTTTTGCCTTTTGCTTTCCATTTTTGCTTTGATCTTGAACTCCAGCCTTTTCCTTTCTTCTCTGAATATATTTTTGGCAACTCTTGTGAGTGCCCATAACTTACCCTGCTGCCTAACCAAACCCTGCCTCCCAGATCTTAGACAGAACCTGATGCTTAGCCACATACTCCTGTTACTGGTCCAGTGTGTTAAGGACTCATTTTCCACTAAGTCCTCTTCCAGCAGGGAGTGAGAACTGGACTGACACTCAGGGCTTATTGAGGTTGGAGCCCTGAGGTAGGTCAGAGGATGGAATGATTTCTCATACTTACCGAATGACATCACATAGTCTCGCACAATTGGGATCCAGAAGATCCCTTCCAAGGTCCCTAGAGAAGGAGTGATGCCTGGGAAAATCCGAGCAAAGCCAGTGGCCTCAGTGGCAAAGTTGATGAAGACCCCGTAAGAGACAATGCCATGGGGGTGGTTGGCAATGATATAGTTGTGTTTGGGAGAGAGGTCATGAGTCTTCACCAGCTGTTGGAGGGAGATTGAATCAGAACAGTGGATAGGAAGAAGGAAGAGAGGACATGCGGACTCAGATACCAGCAGGTAGCCCCTGTTTCCCTTGGGGAGCCCAAGTTCCTGTCCATTGGGATGTCGCCAGGGGCTATGATGCTCAGAGTGGTTGACCTGGGTTTGTCACTGTGAGGAAAGGCTGCTGTCTATCCATCCATCTCCTCACCTACCCATCCATCCTGAGCCACTACTCTGCTTTATGCCTCTGAGCCTTGAGCTTCACTACTGGCAACCAAAGCCGTTGAAACATGAAGCTGAGTAGAGAGAGAGGAATCTGAGCAACAGGGCCCGAGGACACCCAGACAAAGGGGTAGTCACCTTTATTGGGAAGTAATTTCGGAAATACTTCCAGATGGTCCATTTTCGTACCCATGCGAAACGCCTACCACCTGTTGGTACAGAAGGAAAGGGAAGAGCAGGTGAGGTATTGCCAATTCTTCTACCTTTTCCAGTAGTGGAGGGTTCTTCCTACAGTCCTCAGGTCACATGAGGTACAGAGGTGTAGGTACCGTCCCTGGATCCAACCCCCAAAGAGGAAGTCCCTGAACCTCTGGGGCCAGCCAGAAAGGTAACAGGCAAAGAGTGTGAGGAGGGCTACCTGCACAGAAACCTCAATCTTTGAATTCTGCCCTGGCTGGTGTGGCTCAACAGATTGAGTGCTGGTCTGCGAACCAAAGGGTGACTGGTTCGATTCCCAGTCAGGGCACATACTGGGGTTGTGGGCCAGGTCCCCAGTAGGGGGCACATGAGAGGCAACCACACACTGATGTTTCTCTCCCTCTCTTTCTCCTTCCCTTCCCCTCTCTCTAAAAATAAACAAGACCTTTTAAAAAAATTCTTCCTGCACAGCCTGGCAGAGATCTCTGTTCCCTGATGAGGTTTTCTCCCCTCTCCCCCTCCCCGTCCCTCTAACCACCCTTTGCATCTCCCCTTCCCTCCACCTCTCCACCCACTCCTTTCCTTTCCCCTCCCCACCCCTTCTCCCTCTGCCTCTCCCATTCTCTCCCTCCATGTCCTCCCCCCTATCGTTACTTCCTTGGCACAGATAGGGACCACCGCTCTTCCTGTGGCTCTTACCGTTAGTGTGGGTTTTCCAATCATAGGCGATCCAGGCTATGGCAAGCACCGACACGGCCCAGAACTTAGTGAACACCAGAACAGGTATAAGGATCATGGGAAAAAGTCCTGAGGGGACACAAAGCATTCATGCCATTCAGTTCTCTTCTGGAATTTTTTTAAACATGTTTTTTATTTTTATAATGATAAAAGAAATACACTTTTTAAAAATAGCCCTGGCTACTGTGGCTCAGTGAATTGAGTGCTGGCTGGTGAATCAAAAGGTTGCTGGTTCGATTCCCAGTCAGGGCACATGCCTGGGGTTGAGGGCCAGGTCCCAAGTTGGGGCGTGTGAGAAGGAACTGATTGTTGTTTCTCTCTCTCACATCAATGTATCTCTCCCTCTCTTTCTCCCTCTCTTCCTCTCAAAAATAAATAAATAAAATCTTTTTTAAAAAAAGATGAGAGTCAATTTGCTGGATAAACTTCAGAAGAAAATTCAGATAAAGCTAAAGAAGGGTAATTCTTAATTAAAGGTAGTCAAACTGTATCATTTATTTTATATCTTGCTTCAAATACATTTTGTTTGTGTTTCCAATATTTAGACTAGAGCCTTGTATGCAGTAGGTGTTTAACAAATATCTATATACCAACTAAAAGATAAATGTTTTCTTTTTCCAAGAATAGCTGAGCTTAAATGATCAGTATTTAATCAGTATTTATGTTATTTAAATGAGAGGTTATGTGAAAAGCATGGATGGATTTATGGTGTACCTTACATCCAATCTCTTTCAGCTATCCACAAGTCCTAAAGGTAATCTGAAAGAGCCTACCTCAGTGATCACCATCCCCCTTGTGGAATCTATTTGAACTGCAGGTGTAGCACCCAGGAGATCCTAAATTTCCAATGAGGGCAAGCCCTCCAGACCCAACCTGTGTGAATATCATCGTCACTCATGGTAACAGAAGTAGGATTTAAAAACTAGGAGAAACAGAATCCGAACATGGAAGAGCTAAAGCTCATGGAACAAGGAGTTCCTTGACAAAAAGCATGGGGATCTGAGGTGAGAACAATGGAGAACAACCATTTGTGTGTATGCATGGGTGACTCTTCCCTTACATATTATGTCCTTGATACCAGGAGATCCTTCCAACATCTTGTCCATGTTCAAGTGAGGATTCTTGGAGTGGATTATCAAGGAGGAAGTTCACAAACAATAAGCTTCTAATTTAGTTTGCACTGAAGATGATCAAGCCATTCTACTTGATATATAGTATTATATCTCATCATAGTTATAATTTGCATTCCCTAATACTTAATGATGCATAACAGTTTTTCATGTGCTTGTCTGCCTTCTGTATATTCTCTTTGGTGAAGTGTTTGTTCAAATATTTGGCCCATATTTCAGCTGGCTTGTTGTTTTCTCACTATTGGGTTTTCAGAGTTCTTTATACATTCTAGATGCAAGTCCTTTGATGGGTATGTGCTTTGCAAACATTTTCTGCCATGCTTATCTTTTCATTCTTTTAACAAGGTCTTTCTTAGAGCAAAAGCTTTTAATTTTGATGAAATCCAATTTTATCTTTTTTTTCAGATGTGTTTTTGATGTCAAATCCAAGAACTTTTAACCTAATCTGGGGTCATAAAGGGTTTCTCCTATATTTTTTACTAAAAGTTTTAAGTTTTGTGTTTACATTTAGATCTGTGATCCATTTTGAGTTAATTTCTTAATAAAATGTGAAGTTTTGGTCAAGGTCTATTTACTATATATGAATATCTAATTGTTGCAACGCCATTTGTTGAAAAGACTATCCTTCCTCCATTGAATTGCTTTGCATATTTGTCAAAAATCAATTGGCCAGGACTTCCGGTCAAGATGGCAGCATAGGTAAAGGCAGCACTCGCATTCTCTCACAACCACATCAAAATTCCAACTAAGGTACAGAATAACCATCACCCAGAATCACCTGAAATCTAGCTGAATAGAAGTTCCACAACCATGGATTTAAAGAGAAAGCCACATCCAGGTTGGTAGGAGGGGCAGAGACGTGGACCAGGCTGGCCCCACACCCATGTGTGGTGGATAAAAATCTGGAGAAATATCTTGGCTGTGAAGGTCCCCCACTGAGGAGCTAGAGGTCCCAGTCCCACACCAGGGCCCCCAGCTCAGGGTTACAGTGCCAGTAATAGAAGTCCCCATAACTTCTGGCTATAAATACCACCGGGGATTGAGGCTGAGGAAGACAGAAGCTTCTAGAGTCCCAGGCAATTCCTCTTAAAGGGCTCATGCATGGACTTGCTCAGACTCACTTCCCCCGAGTTCCAGCACTGGGATAGCAGCTCAAAAGGCACCAGGGACATACATGGAGGATTGCTGTGTCTGGGGTCAGGGTGAAAGCTGGGGGAGCAGTTTTCTCCCAGAGAAAAGTGCTGGTGGAGGCGATTGTTGCCTTGATAAACTCTCCCTCCACAGAGACAGCAGGCAGGTGCCATAGCTGTGTCTCCGTCAACCTGGCTATCACTGCTGGCCCCATCCTCATGATTCCCTGAGACCCCACCCCACCCAACTTGCAGGCCCATCCAAGATGTTTCCACTGCCTTTACCATATGAATGGCCTGTCTTGGCTAATGCTTTAGACTTTTCTAAAATCCCTCAAACAAGCAGCAATTGGCCTCAGGGCCCCCCACCCCATATCTCCCATTCATTGGCCCCAAGCCCATCACTAGAAGCAGCTGGCCATGTTTTGCAGTTTGGCCTCTCTTGGACAACTTCAAGTCCAGCAAAAGTAGCAACCATTTGCTGATGACTTTGTAGCTCAAGCCAGGTGGCCCTGGGCAGAACACAGATTGGGGCTAACCTTGGTCTGCATCCCCTGGAAGGCTCCAAAGGCAGTTCACCTAGTGGACAGCTTCAGATCACATCAAAGCACCATCCAATCACCTCAGAAGGCACCAGAGCCCCACTGAAATAAGTCCTGCTCTGTGGGATGGGCCTCTGTAGAGCTGATCCTCCACGGAGGTAGCAGCCAATCCTTGCATCAGATTATAATTGAGAGTAAATCCCTCCCATTGATGTACTAACAGCAAACATGGTTCAACTACAACAGGAGGGTGTGCACAGCTCACACGGACTGGGGGTGCAACTGGTGATCAGGGAGGCTGTGGCACTGGACCCTACAGGACACTGACTACATTAGGCCACTCTCTAAAGCCTGGGAGACATAGCAGCTCTACCTAATACACAGAAACAAATACAGGGAGGCTGCCAAAATGAGGAGACAAAGAAAGAAAAAACAGAACTCCAGAAAAAGAACTAAATAAGATGGATACAAGCAATCAACCAGAGGCAGAATTCAGAGCACTGGTTATAAGGATTCTCAGTGAACTCAGGGGAAGAGTAGTGAACTTAGAGAGAATTTCAGCAGCATAAAAAATGACATGAAAACCATAAAAATGAATCAGTCATAAATAAAGGATACACTAACTGAAATGAAGAAAAACATACAGGGAGTCAACAGTAGAGTAGATGTAACCAAGAATCAAATCAGCAATTTGAAATATAAGGAAACAGAAAATTCCCAATCAGAACAGGAAAAAAAAAACCCCAAAAAATCAAAGAAAATAGTGTAAGGAACTTGGGGACAACTTCAAGTGTGCCAATATTTGCACCATGGGGGTACCAGAAGAAGAGAGAACAAAAAATTGAGGGAGATCAACATGGCGGAGGAGTGAGTGGAAGTCACACTGACCTCCTGCCAGGACCAACCTGGAATTACAACTACATTGTGGAGAAATCACCTGGAACAAACAACTGAATAATAGCGAGAGAGGAGCCTTGTAACCTCGGAGACAGAAGAATCGGCTTTAGCGCAACCTAACTGGTAAGGAGTGCGGTACAGACCTGAGAAGGTGGGCAGGGTGCCCACGGGTGGCAGCACCAGAAGGATACTGAAACAGCCAGTGGGATCTCCCTGAGAAGAGCGGGGTCTAAACCAGAAGAGAGGATCTTTAGCCCACAGCACCAGAGTCCAAAAAGTACACATAAAACAGCCAGCTGCAAAAAGCGGTAGGGTTGCTCTCTGCCATAGACAGGTGGCTGGAGATGCAAAGAGCCTTCTAAAGGGCCAACGCAAAATTTTTATTTGCAGCCACTTACCTTGGTCTCCAGCAAAGGCGGGGACAGAATGGGCTAGAGATGCCTGGGGAGAGACTAGGGAAGGAGGCTTTGGGGAGAGAACTGAGAGAGTAGCCGGCAGGATCTCGGTGCTGACTCATCCCCCATGCAGCAGCAGCAGCCATCTTGCTCAGGCAGAGACCACTCCCCCTGAGCGACTCCAGTGTCAAAGGACCCAATAGCCCCACCCCCAGGTGGGATTTTACCCCACCCTGTGCTGTCGAAGCTGCCTGCTGAGTGCAGTGGGGCAGCCACAGACAGTAGATCTCTGGTTAAAGGGAGTGCAGGGAGGTCTGGCAACACTTGAGGAGAGACTGGGGATGGTGGCTTTGGGGAGAGAACGGAGAGAGTAGCCAGCGGGATCCCAGAGCAGACTCCTCTTCCATAGGCCAACAGCAGCATGAGAGGACCCAATAACCCCGCCCCCAGGAGGGACTCTGCCCTGCCCTGAGCTGTCTAAGGCACCCTGCTGAGTGCAGAGTGACTAGATGAACAGCTGAAGGAGACAGCCACAGAGAGTAGATTACTGGAAGTCTCGAACAGACTGCCTAAGGTCAGACAGGGTCAACATCTGACATCAGAGGCAGATCCAGAAAGTAAAAACAGCAGTCTCCAACCATAAAAGTTCACACCACAAAGTCAGGAAATCAAGACAGATCAACTTAAGAAGCAGAAGCTAAAAAGAAGAGTCTCACAAATAATGGGAAGACAAAGAAACACCTCCCCAATTGAAAGGAAAGGAGGAATCCCCACAAAGAGAATTAATGAAATAGAGGCAAGTAAACTATCAGATATTGAGTTCCAAACAATGGTTCTAAGGAAGCTCAATGAGCTCAGTGAGCTCAGAGAGAATTACAAAAAACTACAAAGAAACTATGAGGAACGTACTGCAAACTATATCAGCATGAAAAAGGACATAGAAACTATCAATAAGAGACAAGAGGAAATGAAGAA